TTATTGCAAAGCAATGGTTTAACTTTTTTAGAGAAACGGAGCAACGGAGCAAAGTGCTTAACTGAATGATACTTTAGATGTATAAAAACCCTCTTATTGTTTTATTTCTTAAATATTTTAAAATATTTAAAGATGTTAAAAAAATCCGATAGCAATATTTTGTTTTAATCTATATTAAATAATTTTTGTTTTGTTAAATTGTTGAGACCCTGCATTATTATTTTTTTATTTACCCAAATATAATTATTTCAAAATGCTTCTACATGTTGTGTAGTGTTATTAAACATTTTGCATTATTTAATTAAAAAATGTTTGTAAATATAGAGTTTTTTGTGAATACCCTGTATAATAATTATATTGTATTAAAGTTTGAATTTCGTAATAATATTTTCTTTTTATTGATGTGTTTTTATTAATATCAAGTTAAATTTATTGGCATTACAAAAATGTCGAATTAGTCAAGCACCTAGAGTTTCCCTGGCTAACTGTGTGCCGTTGGGAGCTGTGCTCTTATAGAATGGAGCGTCTTCTCGTCCGTTATATTAATTAACTTTATCGCAGGATCGCCATCGTAGGTTTTTTTTTTATACAGCATCAATAATAAATTAAACTAATTTTCGTCAGATTTGATTCTAAACCCTCCATTCGTTTAATATCGGGATGGTGTACTTGGCTGCTATGGGATTTTATGCCACTAGCAGTTGTCCGTCCAAATAAATGACATTTACCGTCAATCCTAAGAAGTCATTTTGTAATTTATTAGAAAATTTGCGACTAAAGTGTCCGAACACGGAATAAGTCAAGCAGAGAAGGCAGCAACTCAATTTGTTATATAACCGTGATTAGTATGAGAAAAAGTTAAAAGAGAACTCGGGCCGAGCGCTGCCTAGCAGAATCAACTCAAAATATATAAACCGACGACCCACCAAACAAATCCACATTAATTAAGCAGTAGAATTCCAAGTCATCACAAGGTATGAAATTATCTATTAATTATTAATTATTATGGTATTTCATTTTTCTGAATAATTCTACTAACAAGAAGGATAAAAATTATAAATTATGTAAGAAAAGTGAGAACGCAAACCCGTTTTATTCTACAAAAATGACGTGAATCTGCCAAACAACGAAATAGCTTCAAAATAACCCGAAAAAAATTTGCCCCACCAATTTTTGTTCAGAAAATTGTACTTTCAACCATTTTATTTATTTATTTATTATAACCAGGTACCTTAACATGACGAACTAACGTCACAATTTACAAAGGTACATTTATCTTAATTCAAAAGAGTAAGCAAAACAATTTCTATATAAAAAAGAAAAAGAAAAACAAAGAATGTAGAAATAAACTCTCTTATTGCTTGATTCCTAAATAAATTGAATGAGCAAAAAGATCTATCTCCAAAAAGTAACTGTTATAAATTTTATGCAAAAGAGATATTGGTGAGTTGCTTCCTAAATTTGTATTATATTTAGGCACATAGAATAAAGCAGGCGTTCTAGTCATTACCGCCCTAGCATTAAAGGATAATTTTTCCAACAGTTTTGGACAGTTTACTCTCTTATTAACAATATTGGTGCAAAAATATGCCACTATATATTATTCGCCTAACAGATAATTTCAACGTATGATAGCAGTCAATAAACTTTTTTTGAATGTTTTCAATTCTGTTTACGTACTTATGATATTGGGTACTCCAAAGCACACTGGCAAACTCAATACTCAAACTCAGTTTTGTGTCTATAGTTACTCCAAGATCCCTGATATGCTTTACTTCTTTAAACCTTACTCCATTAAATTTATAATCAAAAGCTATATCATATATATATATATATATATATATATATATATATATATATATATATATATATATATATATATATATATATATATATATATATATATATATATATATATATATATATCATCAGTTTAATTATTAATTTTTATTTAAATTTAAAAACAATCGATTTCCTAAACAGGTCTTCCTGAAACTTACGACAGTCGTCGATGCGACTGTACACAGGATCCATTTGCATGTTATTATCTAACACATCAGTAAGAGATTCATAGCTACAAACATACCCCGAAAAAAGCCATGTTCCGTTTCACCAAGAACTTACCTAAATTTAAAAAATAACTCCTGTTATAATGGCCTCAAACATTTTGCCTGGAATAAGTCTGTAGTTTGCGATATCAATCTTACTGCCAAATAATCCGGAAGTGACCTTCTGATTAACTTTTATTAAGGATTAAAAATAGCGGTGGCAACAGAGATTCCGGACAAGATTTAAAAAAGATCGGGGGAATTTTTCTGGCCCAGGGGCCTTATTTATATCTAGTTTGTTTAACTCAATTCTAATCTGCCCTTCATAAATGGAATTTCAAGTAACTGTGTGTCACACGGCCTATCCAGTAACGAAACATTTGGAAGAGTTCTTTCTGGCTTATAGACAGTAGAAAAAAAAAAGCAGAAAACGCTTCACAGATATCCGCGTCCGCATTCTAAAGTACTGTTCTGATACGTTACATACTTTGGCACGTTTACTGCTTTCCTCTTATTGCTTACAAAACTCCAAAATGATTTTACGTTTTTTTAAAGATTATTGTCTGTATTTTTGAAATAATTTGCTGCGGATTGTACTTTCAATTACTAATTTTGCGTAGCTTTCTTCTCTTTTTTTTTGTTTTCCTCTAGTTTGTAGAAAAAATAGCGTTGGCGAATCTTGCGGAAAGCGTGTTTTGGGATATATTGTTTATTATATTTTCATATCGCCATAATTTCATACCTTTAACGAATAAAAATTCCAAGGACTTGTAATACAGGCATCGAATACTTCATCACATCAACTCAAAACTTCCTATGGGCTAAGCCGACTTAAAATCTGCTTTGAAACTTTTTTTTCTATTATGTATAATATTCAATTGATTTTTTTTTCAACTCTCGGTTTTACTGCGGTAATTAGACATTTTTAAAATTTCCTGGTAATTCAGCAAAGAACTAACAAAATTAATCCAATGAATCAGCAAAATATATGTTATTGGTTGTTGAAACTTGCCTTTACTTTATGTACTTTAATTATTTGTCATTATTTTATAATTACTAACTACGTATTTGTTAAAATTTATATGCTTTTTTCTATGCACAAAAAAAGTAAACGGAAGATATAAATAGAAATCTCTCCTAAGAACGGTTAAGGGAAATAAACAAAAAACTGCCACTGTCGGAGAAGTGGATGTTTACCTACCATACGATCTATTCTGTTTGCTGTAAACACCACAGATCTCTCTCGTGTTTAAACGTCTTTGTACGCTTTTTGATAAAGGTTGCTCTTGCGAGATTACGTCCCAACTACATCACCGTGCCTACTCCACATTGCTGTTAGTTTCTGCAACTAATACTGCAACCTACCACACGACATTAAATTCTGTGCTATATCGTTCACGTTCGAGTCTATTTTATTTTTATTTATTTAATACTAACAGGTCCGACTCCTCTTTGTTTTTAAATTATTTTTGGTGCGTATGTGATTGAAATGAAACTTGAAAGAATTGTTTTTACTATTATAATTTTTAATGCTCTTATTATCCATCACGGTAAAAAAAACGCAGCAATTATTTTTCGTTTGCCAAAATGCCTAAGTTAGTTTTTTAATTTATTATTTAGTTTTCGATGGTTAAATCGGAACACACATTTGATCTTTTGAAGCCTTTCCCTTTTCTCTCTTTAAAAACCGTTCGTAATTTACGCAACATCGAGCATGGAGCAAAATATCATTCCAGTGTTGGGATATCAATCAATATTTTGCGTTCAACGCACCGTCGTTGCCATATTATTTTTTGTTTGCTCTTAAAAAAAAACAAACGTGTGCAAACGATAAGAGTTCACTGATAAGGGGCTATTTGCCAGATTTGGGTCAGATAAAAAAACCGGGAAAACGAGAGAACGGCAAATGGTAGATAAAATTTTTTATTTTGTTTACTTTGAATTTAATTCTGGTCCGAACGACTATCTTTGACATTTAAATAGGCGCAGTTCTAAATACATACATCAAGCAAACACACCAAATTTAATTTTGACAAAGTTATCTCGTAGGATCTGGCTCGTCGTTTCACAAACAAATTTACGAGCACTTTAGTACATTCGGGAATTATTATTGTTATTATTATTATTATTTTAATTAAAAATTAAAAAATTAAATTAAATAATTTTCTATTGAAAAGCTTTCGATGCCGTCAGACTGCGGTCAGAGGGGGCGTATCAATTTATAGCAAACACAAAGTCAACTGTAGAACTTTAGATTTAGATAAATACTCACTAGACATCCATGCCGAATTTTGCGGCATTGAATTAACCCACAAAAATACCGTAGTTATCAATGTATATAGATCGGGGAGCCACGGCGACCCTTATCTATTTATATCCAGGCTAGAACTTCTTTTAAATGACCTCTACTCTAAGAAGAGAAAACTTATTATTACAGGTGACTTTAATATCAAATTCAACCTGACTTCAAATGCTCTAACGATGGATTTTGTCAACTTACTTGCCACCTTTGGAATCTCCCCTAGTGTCGCTGACCATACCCGTATAACTGAAACTACGTCAAGTTGCATTGATAATTTCCTGTCAATATATCCCCCACTCTGTTCACTGCGGGCAGTGAGGATCCAGCACTCTCTGATCATTCCGCTGTTTTTATGGAATTACACTTTGATGTTTCCTCTGTGCACGATGACCATATTCAATTCAGACCAATTACCCAGGCGGGTCTGAATAACCTCTGCACAAGTTTTGAGAGCACCAATTGGGAACCTTTTATTAATACTAACGCCGATCCGACCAACTCAACAAAAGAACTGCTTCATATCTTCACCGCCAATATCCAGAATCACTTTAAAGTCGTAAAGCGCAGTAATTCCTTCCGTCCCCCCGTGGTCTGGTTCAATCGTGACCTCAAACTTATGAAGGATCACGTGATGCTTTTAAAAGCCAAGTGTCGAATATTTTCCCCACGCGACAGTTGGGCTGAGTATAGACTGGCTAATGCTAACTACAAAAGAATGATCAAAGAAACAAAATCCAAGGCATATGCCAATTTTATAACTAGAGCCAGCAACATGAGCAAAAGTTGTTGGACCTTGATTAACCATGAAACTAACCGAGCCTCAAAGGCTATACCCAACTCAATCACACCCAACGAATTTAACTCTTACTTCTCCAATGTAGTAAATGACCTAGTATCATCCATTGGGAAATCCAGTGACCCATATGTGTACCTTACGAAAACACCCTCTCCGTGTAAATCTTTCTTCTTAAGCCCGGTCTCTGAGAGTGAGATGTATGGCATTATTATGGGTCTAAACAAGTCAAGTTCTACCGATTGCTTCGGCTTAAATTCAAAAATATTGAAACACACCATTGAGTACATCGTGGGTCCCCTGGCAGCCATAACGAACGCAGTGTTTTCGAGTGGCGTATTTCCTTCGGATCTAAAACTTTCAAAAATAATTCCCATTCACAAAAAAGACGATCAACATACACCAAATAACTTTAGGCCCATTGCAATTACCCCTATATTCGGTAAAGTCATTGAGAAAGCCCTGAAGGCTCGCCTGTCACTGTTTTTTGAGGAAAATAAACTTCTGTGTGAATCGCAGTTTGGCTTTCGTGAGGGGAAATCCACGACCCATGCACTTATGCACTTTGTGAACAGTGTGGTGCGGGGTTTCGATGCTGGCGACGTATCAAAGGCACTTCTGTACGACCTTACGAAAGCGTTTGACTGCGTCGATCACGATGTGCTCTTAAACAAATTAAAATTTTATGGCGTCAGAGGTATCCCTCTAAAGTTAATAAAATCGTATCTTAGTAACAGGTTTCAGTATGTTGAGTTTGGTGGGGTGTCGAGTGATGGTGCTCTTCCAGTGAGCTGCGGTGTCCCACAGGGCTCGGTTCTTGGGCCGTTGCTCTTCATCATTTATATAAATGATCTGCCATTGTCCGTGCCAGATGCGAATGTCACCTTGTTTGCTGACGACACTGCCATTCTGTTAACAGCTAAGCATCAACGAATGCTTAGTGAAGATGTCAGCGTAGCAACAAATGTTCTCCAGCAATGGTTTTCTGCAAATAACTTAGTCCTCAATAAACAAAAAACTCAAGAACTTACCTTCTCCTGCAGTAAAGTCGACTATCTGTATCAAAATAATATAACCCTCTTGGGATTCGTAATTGACAGGACTCTGTCATGGTCAGGGCAGATTCATGAGGTCTGTGCAACGTTGTCTCGGCGACTGTTCCTACTGAGACATCTCAGCCATTGTCTAACCCCGGCGGCCCTTAGGATAGCCTATTTTGGGCTTTTTCATAGTGTGCTGTCTTATGGCATTGTGCTTTGGGGTGGGGTTGGATATACGGAAAGAGCTTTTCGTTTGCAAAAGAAGGCTGTGCGGGTCCTCTGCGGTGCCAACCCGATTGCCCACTGCAAGCCCATTTTCTCTGACTTCCAGGTTATGACGCTGCCTTCTACTTATATATACCGATTCATCCTGTATATTCACGAAAACGCGGATGTCTATGGGACACTTGGCAATAGACATGAGTATAATACTAGGTATGTTGACATGATCACCCCACCTCACTCCAGACTGACGTCCTCACAAAACAATAAGATTAATGTTAAACTGTATAATGTTCTCCCAAATAATATAAAAAATCTACCATACAGACAATTTAAAAAGAGAATGAAAAGTTTTCTTACTGATAATCCTTTCTATGATATTAATGAATACTTGGAGTTGATCAAACATACTACACTTGAATAGACCACTGCGTTAGTGTGTTAGTTCTCAAAAATTGTACAACCTTTTATATTATATATATAAATTCTTTTGTATTGTTAACCTTTGACGTACCATTTGTTGTTTTTGTGACGTATCTGAATGGCCAATAAATTCTATTCTATTCTATTCTATTATTATTATTATTATTATTATTATTATTATTATTATTATAAGCGCTAGATTCTTATATATCAGCTGGATGAACAAATAAGCAAAATGAAAATAGCAAGAATCTTGTTTCCAAAAACATTTGGTGGGGCAACTGATATATCTATAAATTCTTGATCCGCGGTGAATCTTGTATAACAAGCTGCGCATTGAGGCAGACTTCAAATCTTTCCTACACTCAGATGGAAACATTAGCTGTTCCTGAAAGCACTTTGTTTCCTGCAAGATTGAGTTGTACTAGTTTGTTCATATTCAGTTAAGCTTTAATCACTTTGCGTGTCTTGAGAAGTGTTTTGCAAGTTTTGCTTTATAAATTATACGGTCCCAACTAATAAGTGGACCATACGTCTGCCCAAATCATTTTGCAAATGAGATTTAGATACCGAAAATATAGTATAAGTTTGTATAAAAATAAAAAATTGTAATTCACTGGTCATGTTCATCAGGTACCGAAATAGACGAAGTTCAATAAGATAATGGTTATTTTATAACATTATTCACATCAGTCGTTGATTTTTCATTCAACCTCCCTTAGTTATTCAAGATTCAAGATTTGGAAGAATTTGCACTTGGGCTATCCTTGTTGTTGCGACCCAAACGACCTATTATGACTTTCCCATAGCTTGGTTTGGTTACGCTCGGCAGATGGAAACGCACATTCAATAGGCTTCACATTGACGCGGCTCGAGTGTTTTCTCCTCTTTTAAGCAGAATCTGCATTCATTATTTTCTTCCACATCTTAGATGTCCCTTAAGCTGACAGTGGCCCGGCACTAGACCGACCATTATTCTTTAGACCTCCCTTTTGTAACTTAGCAGGTTTGCTGTAAATGTGACTGTTAATCGTAATTGTTTTATTTTCAATATTTTTCGTTTTTATTTCTCTTGCAGATTGTTCTGGTGAATTAGAATAGACATTTTTATTTTCTAGGTATGAACCCGGACGTGACTTGATTGCTGTGATTCCTGTAATGTGTAACAAAGCCTAGTGCTTGAGCCTAGTGCTGGATGTCCCTAGGACTTTGTCTGCCTTAATCTCCATGTAGGGCTATGGGCACCATATATTGTTGACTGACCTTCTTTGTATTGTAGAGTTATTTTTTTTGCACTTATACTACCATATCCAAAACTGGCATATCACGACTTAATATATCTATCTATTCTCCTCATTAATCGTGGATATTTTAAGTGGACGCAAGTTGATATTTCCAATTTTTCTTGCACGCATGTCAATCTCATCTTAATTCCAGATCTTCTTCTAATCTTCCAAGCATCTTCGAGGCATTGGTAATACCTCCAGCTGTTATTGCGCACCGCCAGATAGAGCAATCTGATCGCATATTGCGTGGAACGACCTTTATCATTCAAAATAACCGTTCAACGTCAATGTTGTCTATCGTTATTGCAATAACAAAATGCGTTGCTCTTTATTTGCCAATGCGCAGCGAAAAAAGGGCAACGTGCTACGGAAAACACATGTTTATTTAAATTTCGTCTATCCTATGAAATATTAGGTTAAAAACGTATGTTAGTACGGTTGGTTTGGACTTTGAGCAATGTTTTTTTAACCGATTCCGAATTGACATCATCAATAGAAAGGGCATTCCAAAAAAATCGTTTATTTATTAATGCAGCAAAGTTTTTAATAAACGATTCACCGAGTGACGTGATGAATTCAGAACACATACGAATCGGAACTGAAGGACTCAAAATACATACCATCAGTGCTTTAAATATCTACCGAACAATCCTATCGCTGCCAACCAGTGACTAAAGGATCGGAAACGCTCCAATTGGCTCGCGACAGTATTTAATCAACCTGAACTTTTGAAGTGACACCTTGCGCTGACCTAATTAGTGGATAATTAGATATTTTAGAGTAATTTTACAATATTCATATATTTAGTTTTAGCTTTATATTTGTTCAATGTAAGTTAGGAAATTTGGACTTTACTGAGTTCTGCTCTAAACCATTCTCAAAAAGACAAGTTCTGAAGTCTTTCAGCTATAATATTTTGTGCCGTTTGGGTTGTCTTCTGTCTAATTATATATCTCGGAGATCGTAAGAAATAATCGAAATAATATAATAAAAATAATAATATAGAAATAGAAACCCAAAGTGGAGGGTTCTGATGGCGAGCGAGGCGACATAGGCTTAGACTTCTCGGACATATTAAAAGCACATAACACAGTGCTTAAAACAAACGAATAATCTAATTACTTGATTGATTATAAAAGGGAATCCAATGATCCACGACCCTCTAGATCAACTACAAAATAGCCTATTAAAAACAAACTATCGGAGCTACTTAAAATCCGACCTAACCAGTGCTTTTATAAAGCCAGACTATCTTCGAAAAATACCAAAGTGGGTTCCCATGGGTCCACAATATTACGAATGACAGAATTATAACTGTTTAGGTTAGACCGATAAATAATGCGAGTCAAAAATAAACACCCAAAACGAAATATGGGAAAATATCGACCACTTAAAGCTAAGGGCGCCGGCATATGTTTAGTCCAATGTGTTTTTTTAAAATTATGTCCATTATTTCTCTACGCACTCTCTTGGTAGAAACGTGATTAACCCAGAAAATTGTATTAAATTTACCTATATAGCCAAATCAAGGCTTGCGTTATATATACCTACTATATAGAGGCACAGATCAGATGCAGCATTTTAGTACTCTTGTGTAAATTAAGTCCTTTCCTCCTTATAGAGTTTAATTCTCTGTTTATGATTCTTTTATGTATTTATTTTTTGCCGTCCGACGCCCCAAGTTAACGGGCACTTTAGATAGCCGCTCCGCCCGGACTAATAACAACAAAGCAACAAAGTAAATAAATTTATCTGCGTCCTTGGTACGAGTCAGTATTTTCTTACCGTCTCCTCTCGCGTGCAGTTCATTTTCCTATTTCTACGGTTCGCAGACCGATTTGCTCGCGCACAAGTGACCAATAATCCTGCGAGCTCAGTTTACATTCGCTATCCCACAACTCTAGATTGTTTAAGTAGTCCGTGGCTAAATTTCCGGGCTAACGTTTTAGTCGCGTGCGAATCAACCGGGAATGGCACCCCAGGCAGTTCTATAAGGGTTAGTAAACCGACAGTGGTGGATTGTTAACCATAAGTTTGAAGTTCTCGTTTTTATTTTCGGTGTACGGTGACAAATAAATATCCGCAAACAAAAATCTGAAATTGTTGAACCCGTTAAATATCTTAAAAGTTCTTTTTAAATGGAAATGCGGCAACGCCGAAGTGTTGTTTATTTTTCCGGGTTGTTCAACTTAACTCTGAACAGCGTTGGCAAATGGTGTCTTGATTCTGGAAATGGCAGATATTACAGACGCGTAGGCACGTAAGAAAACTTGTTCCCATATTTTCTAATTTGAAAACTTTATTTATGACGGTAAATTAGATATTAAAAACCAAACCAACATTTGGTTAATAAAAATATGTTATTTGAAAGATCTATAAAAGGAGTCCCAAAAATATTAATTTCTTAATATTGTCTATACTCTATACTGTTATACCTAAATGAAATTTGAAACACCTTTGAATGGGTCATTAAAAAATTAGTGCTGACAAAATTTAAGTTCAAAATAATTTAAAATATTTTTACTCGAGATTTTTTTGAAGCAATCATTATTTCCGTATGAAAATTACGTTAAAATTATTTATTATTTTTAAATACCCAAAGAACTCCAAAACCATTAATTTTTTGACTAAATAAATAAGAACTAAAAGTTCCGCTTTTCACGAAATTATATATTTTCACGTGACAATTGCTTCGACAACACCGTGTCTTTATCAAATGTAATATAGGGTGTTTTTTTTCGATATATAGAACTTTAAGTTGCAATAAAACAACGATGGATTATTCGATTGACATGAATTTTATTTATCCGAAAGATAATCTTGTGGCATTACATTTTAAATATGATTTCTGGCATATGACCGCCACGGCTGGCGCGGATGTAGTCCAATCTGGACGTCCAATTTTCGATGACTTTTTCCAACATTTGTGGCCGTATATCGGCAATAACACGGCGAATGTTATCTTCCAAATGGTCAAGCGTTTGTGGCTTATCCGCATTGACCAATACATAGCCCAATTCACAGGTCCAAAACGTGAAATTAGGCGGTCACCAAACGTGTCTTTCAATAAATCGATTGTGGCACGAGCTGTGTGACATGTTGCACCGTCTTGTTGAAACCACAT